TATCATACCACCAGCGTGGAATGTAGGCCATGCAGGCGCCAACTTCCTTCGGCATGCTGCATGTATCTGCAGGGAGAAGGCAGAGCAGAGCTGTTGGGTGCTCATCTCCTTAGAGAACATCCACCTCCCCCTTTGTCTCAACTGAGAGGCAAATTCAGCTTGGGGCTCTGCTCCCAATTCAGTGTAAACCTTGACCATTCACGTTACCCCTCTGGTGCTCGACTTTCTCATCTGTGAGACGAGAATACAAAATCCCACCCTGCTTGTCTTACAGAGCGGATGCAAGGAGCCACTGCAGCACCACAGGGCCTTGTTTTCTAGACCACCCCGACGTCTGAACAGCCAAGTCTCACAGATTTGCCTCTTAAGTAGCTCTCCTTTATTTTCTTTCTGCCACTTTCTTAGTTGAAGCGTCATTATCTTTTGCCAGGACTTCCATGAAAGGCCTCCACCTGGTCTCCAAGCCTTCTCCAGTCTACTCCACGTTGGTTTCCAGAATGACTGATCCATTTAGGTCAAGACAAAGTTCTACCAAAACCCAGAGGGACTTCAGAATCCGTTTCCTCCTCCTCCTCTTCAGCTGAATTTCTTTCTTTCTTTCTTTTCTTTTCTTTTTTTTAGAAGATGACTGGTAAGGGGATCTTAACCCTGGACGTGTTGTTGTCAGCAGCACACTCGCCCAAGTGAGTTAACTGGCCATCCCTATATAGGGATCCGAACCCCTGGCCTTGGTGTTACCAGCACCACGCTCTCCTGAATGAGCCACGGGCCGGCCCTCAACTATATTTCTTATGCTGCACTCAAACCCACCCATTCAATCTTTATGCTCAAAAAATAATGTGTCTTACACACCTTCATGCCTTTGCACATGACCAAAAGGTTCACCCCTCTCTTGGTATCTAGGTGCACTCTTAATCATTCTTTAAAAGCCCTCCCAGACATCAATGTTTTCGTGATGTCTTTACTGAATATATTTTTTACCCTTTGCTTTTCTTCATTGCTTCATAATTTCGCACACATGTTTGTCACCTCTGTGTAATTATTTGTTTATATTTTCTGGTTCCTTCTTGAGAATGGGAAGTTTTAGAGGATGGGGATTGAGTCATCTTTTTTTTTTTTTAAATTGTAAACCAGTATAATGTAAGAATTTCTGTTTTAGGCATTTTGAAACATAAAAGTGCATGGAATTAATTACATTCACAATGTTGTGTAACCACCACCTCTATCTATTTCTAAAACTTTTTCGTCAGCTAGAACATAAGTTCTATACCGATTAAGCAACAACTTCCCATTATTCCTTCCCATCTTTTTCAGGTAACTTCTAATCTACTTCTGTCTCTGAATANCCCACCCATTCAATCTTTATGCTCAAAAAATAATGTGTCTTACACACCTTCATGCCTTTGCACATGCCCAAAATGTTCATCCTTTTCTTGGTAACTAGGTGCACTCCTAATCATTCTTTAAAAGCTTTCCCACACATCAACTCTTTCATGATGTCTTTACCAATTTATTTTTTTCCCTTTGCTTTTCTTCATTGCTTCATAATTTCGCACACATGTTTGTCACCTCTGTGTAATTATTTGTTTATATTTTCTGGTTCCTTCTTGAGAATGGGAAGTTTTTGAGGGTGGGGATTGAGTCATCTTTTTTTTTTATTAATCGTTGTAAACCAGTATAACGTAAGAATTTCTGTGTTAGGCATTTTGAAACATAAAATTGCATGGAATTAATTACATTCACAATGTTGTGTAACCACCACCTCTATCTATTTCTAAAACTTTTTCGTCAGCTAGAACATAAGCTCTATACCGATTAAGCAACAACTTCCCATTATTCCTTCCCATCTTTTTCAGGTAACTTCTAATCTACTTCTGTCTCTGAATCTTTTTTTAAATCTATTTTTTAATTGACCCATAATAATTGTGTATATTTAAGGAGTACAATACGATATGTGGGTTTATGTCACCTTCATGCAGCAGTTCCTAGTTGATGGTTTGGCCCAGAGCCAATGCTTTAGGAGTGTTCACAGTTAATAATTTTTAAAAAGACAAAAAAAGTAAAAAATGTATCCAGAACTTAAAGAAGCATTTAGTGAGCAACTGTTTTGTCCATAGTGCTATGAGGTACAAATAGAGTTTGTTAGAACCTCATAACCTGAAGCACAATAAAACAACAATTATAACATTTTATTAAAGTGCAATATATTTCATATGTTAAATAAGTTAATGTTTAGTCTTATGAGGTAGGTCCTCTTATTGGTCTCATTATGCAGAGGAGGAACCTGAAGCTTAAAGAGGCTAAGTAGCTTTCCTGAGCTCACATAGACGGCGAGGGATTTGAATGTAGACGATTCATGGCTCTCAGAATCAGGACTAGACCACTTAACCCTCTCTGCCTAGTCCTGCTTCGTCTTTCTCATCTTCCTCATTTCTTGCCGTGTAATACTCACTTTCTGTGCTCCACCCTTCCTAGGCCTGAGCACGCTGCCTCCTAACACAGGCCCTTTGCACAAGCTTCCACCTGGAAGGCTATTCCCTCTCACTTTTGCGTAAGTACTGCCCATCTTTCAGATCTCAAATCATGGATCCCTTTTCCAGGAAAACCTTTCCTGACCTCCCTGGTCACAATGAGCAAGTAAAGCCCATCACAGGTGCCAGGGGCATCAGTAAATATGTGCTGAAGGAACGTGTGGATGAATAGTCCTTGAGGATGTTTGCTGGAGTTCAATTATATGGGCAGAGAGGAAAGAGTCCTAAGGTGGTAAGAGAAGGCATCCCGGATTTATGTAGACAGTGAGATCTGGAGAAAAAAAGCCAGGAAGTACAGATTATATACGTTTCCTTTATAGCTGTCATATAACCTGACACAATGGTGTTATTTGATGGGACTTCAGTGGCACCTCAGAGGATCACTGAAGAGTGGCCAAGAGACCATGTGGTCTGATACCCATACCCATCTTATAGATGGGGAAACTGAGGCCCAGAAAGGAAAAACTACATTTCTCACATCCCATACCAAACTAGGGGCAGAAATGAGATAAAATCCACATCTCCCAAGCCCAGCACTGACAGGATTTGTGTCAAGTAGAAGATGCACCCAGACTCTTGGTCAGAGACGAGCCATGAGAGAAGGAGGAGAGGGGAAGGGACAATGCCAGTGCAGGTGGTGGCAGGAGGGAGGGCACTGGATAATTCAGGGGATCTGTGGGTTACCTTTTCGGAGGTCTAAACATTTCTTTCCACAGCTGAACAAGCAGCACTTCATCTTTTCCGGGCAATGTCTGTGCTTCATGCATTGGTTCCTTTCCTTGATTTCGCATTTTACTCTGATTTTGGGACATGTTCCTAAGGGAGGGGAAGATGTACTCCCATGAGGCCTTGAAGGGGCCAGTGCTCTCTGTTCCCAAGCCCGGGGCACCACTTTAGAGTTATGGAAGTTTGATTTTACTCCATCTGTCCCCAGACGGTAGTGACCGTGAGCAG